AGGCTGTTAAAAGTGACAGCAGGAGATCTGTATTTTCAGACTTGCAAGATTCTGTTAATTTAGCCTTACAATAAAGTAGAATCTAGGTCATATGGTGCTGTCTGGTTTACCTGGGAGGGCTGACATCCATCTTGCAAGTCTGAAAATACAAATCTCCTGCCATCACGTTTAACAGCCTGATACGTTAGGGCAGATCCTTTTTCGGTTTCTTTCTTTGCCCATTATTCAGCTGTGGGCTCCTCTCCCTTTTATCTGATCATTCCCTAGGCAGCGTCTCTTCCCCTCGTCCCTCAAGGTCATTCCCACATACTGTTACACCTTCATCATAAAATTGAAAGACCAAGTATGGCCTTGGCTTGGGTCATCCATAGGAGGGAGTCAAAAAGTCAAGATGGCATCTATGACCATGTGATGCACATAAAAAAAGGGCAGGACTTCAGTCGCATGGCTGCAGATGTCACCTTTACCTTTTTTACCCTCTCTGGAGACACCCTTACCTTGGCCCAGAAAACATTGTGCATGCCTGCACAAGGAAATGAATCAGAATCTGTAATATAGAAAAGTGGGGAAAGGTGGTAGTGACAAGCTTCTGGTGACTGGTACACTTACCGAATATATTAGGAGGGTCTGAAGGTTGAAGTGTGTCTAGCAAAGTGTGTGGAAGGATAATGCAAAATAAGAGGTGCGATTTTCCAAACTTTGCTTTGGGAAGGGTTGACAATAAGTCCCCCCTACCTACCCACCCCTGTTTTAATGGTGTTGAGCTTATTCTAGAGTTTACAGAACCAATTTGTTGTAATATCCCATCTCAAAATTACAAGAGCATATGCTGTTGATTTTCATCAATCAGATTAGCAACGTTCGCAGAATGGTTGGACAGAGGTGGTGGGCTGCAAAAATGGACCTCCAAGACCATTTGGACTAAGTGGCCTAAATAGCTTCTTCTGCTCTGTGGAACAGAACAAGACTGAAGAGAGTCTGACTCATTAGGGACCATTTTCATAGCTGAAGGAACTAGCATTGTGAACAATCAATACTTTCCTATTGGGTGGATTACAATTTCACTAGTGACACAATAACCTATGAGTAAGTCAGACAGCTAATAGGCAGATAAAATTGACAAGAAGTGGGTGTGGAAGAAATACACCGGAATGATATATTCTATTACTCCTACACTTTTCTGCGTGTGCTACCCAGTGTGAATTATAAGAAGGCCAAAGGGCAAGTCACATTTTCTTCAGACCATTTTTTTTTTAGATTTTTATCCCACTTTTTTTTTCATATACAACTCAAGTTGACAAACATATCCATACTCCTTCCTCCTCCTATTTTCCCCACAACAACAACCCTGTGAGATGACTTGGACTAAGAGAGAGTGACTAGCCCCAAGTCACCCAGCTGGTTTTTTATGCCTAAGGCAGGACTAGAACTCACGGTTTCCTGCTTTCTGGCCTGGTGCCTTAACCACTAGACCAAACTGGTTCTGTTCTTCATTTTCAATTTTTCCATGCTGATCTACTCCAGAACAGATTAAAATGCAATACATCAAATAAATAGGCTCCACAGAAAACAGGGGCTTTTTTCTTCATTCTTTTTTTCTCACCATTTGTTGCAATTCTGGCAAGGATGCCTTGAGGAGGACAAGCACATATTCGTCTTCCTGAGGTCTTTAACTGGGCCAGAGGTCCCTGAGTGCGCCACTCGCACCCATTCAATGGAGCTGCTTCTTTTGTTTGTACAATGCCACTGGTGGCTCTGGAGTCCAAAATACTGACCTCCTGAGTGGAAACCAAGAAATAATATCAGTAACAACCATCTGTCACATTTTATCAGAATACTACGGCTAAAGTCCTAATTTTTATAATTTTCAAAAGTTACTGAACTCAGTGGGATTTAATTTTAAGTAAACATATTTGTCTGGTGGGTATCAGTCTGGAGAAAATTGGTCTATAGGTTAACTCTAATAACGGCACCAAACTGAGCAAGGTGGTTTAACAGTTGAACTATGCACAGACACGAACAGATGTTGATAAATACGCTGGTTTATGAAGTCTGTTGGTCTTTTATGATTTTTGTCCTAATTAAATTGCTTTTAGATACATTGCTCTGATTTTTATGCTAACTTCTGGTCTGTGATGATGCAGCAAATAAAATAAGTTGAAGTTCAATTTCCTTCGAGAGTGATAGGTTGGAGAAGGAGGCGCTGTGGTTTATAACTGCAATTTAAGAGTTTGTCTTGATGCAATTTACTCCTACTTAAAAACATAGAGCAGGGTTGGGTTTATCACTAAGCAGTTTTGCAGCTAGCTTCAGGAAATACAGTGTTATTGTTGTATTATAGTTGATGTGGGTATTTAACATGGTGAGGTTTTTTTCCTTCCATTCCATGCTCCATGTAAGTGCATATGTTCATGCATATGTTCAGAAATGAAAAACTGTAAGATAGAGTAGATAACCTGCAGGCTGTGAATTGCCCCAGCACCCCATCTGTGATTTCCCCAACTTGCAAAAGCTGAAGGCTTCCACTTAGCCCCTTAAGGCACCTCCCTCATGCCCCTCAGAGCAGAACAATAGAAGCCAAATATTTTGACCTTGCCCACTTTAGTGGCAGCATGGCATTCCCTGTCATGTCCCCTACAGTCCCCAGATAAGGCACACCGTGAATCCTAAAAAAGTTTACCCTCCTGGTGTATGGCGTTATGCAATTTAAACAGAGAACTGATACCGTATAATGCTCAAGAGTGAAATCCGTGAGCAGAGAACTGATTCCAATAATTTATTTAATTGTAATACAAAATTCATGTGGTTTTTTTTAGGGCCAAGTCCTCTAAGCAGGGCGCATTACATTTGTTCTTTAGGCCAATACGAGAAAAAGGTAAATCCAAGGAATAACATGGAAAGCTTCATTTTCTACTTGACCACAAAATCTTTCTATTAATAATGCGGCTCTCTCAACTTATTCATATACAGGCATGGTCTGTTAATTATAAAGTGTTATTAAACTGCTACAGTCATTTATATATTAGCCCTGAGTAACTCATTACTCAAAAGTAACCCAACCACTACACCAGTGTTGTCCAAACTTGGCCACTTTAAGATGAGTGGACTTCAACTCCCAGAATTCCCCAGCCAGCCTCATCTTAAAGTGGCCAAGTTTGGACAACACTGCACTACACAGTCTGGCCTGATTGGGAGATTGCTGGGAATTCCAGGGCTCTGCTGCAGACTCGGAAGTTGAAAAAGCATCCTGGAAAATGGCAGTGGCACATCCTGAGAACATCTGGCCAACATTCCATCTCAAGAATGGCCCACAAGAAGCACCTAGGAAGGCCACCTATAGGGTATCGAGTCTCTTCTCCCATTGTCAGTTCCACGAATCTACTGTGCAAAGAGGCAGCACCCAATAATCAAGGCTATTTTTGAAGACTTGTAAATAAGCAGCCAATAACACATTCTTGAGGCAGCCTATTCCACAGGTTGATTATACATTGTATGAAAAAGCATCAGTTTTAAATCTTCTGCTAGTCAGTTTCGTTGAGTGGCCTCTAGTCTAGTATTACGGAATATGGAGAATTTCTCCCTATTCACCCATGCACACTTTTATCACCTCAGTCATATCTTCTTGTGTCATTTCTCCCAGCTAAACAGCCCCAACCATTGCATCCTATCCTCATATGGAAGGCGTTCAAACCCCTCCTCTTCTTGGTTGTCCTTTTCTGCACCTTCTCAGCTCCATAATATTCTTCTTGAGATATGGTGACCAGAATATTGTACACAATATTCTAGATGTAACCACTCCACAGATTTTTATGAGGTCATTATAATCATAGCCAATTTATAGCCAGTCTCTTTTCTAATGATCCTAAGCATGGAATTTGCCTTCTTTAAAAGCACTGTGTATTTCCTTACACCTCCAAAGAAACTGCATAGAAGTGTCCATGAAGTCATAGAAGTCAAGCTCAACTCTCCCTTTTACTGCACAAAATTAATAAAATCACAGTACGTTGGACTGCTCGCTGTACAGTAGATTGGATGGGGAACTTAGTGGTTTAGAGAACTACAGCAGCACTTAGCATGACCAGTGGTGAGGGAGGATGGGGGTTGTAGTTCAGAAATTCCCCTATTCCTACAATGGTTCCCTATCTTGGAGTCCCCCACTGGATTTCAAGTCTAATATTTATGGAAGGTGCACCAGACTGGGGAAGACTGTTATGGATATATGAATGTAAACAAATCACCAATATAGTTTTAAAACAGCAACAGCAATTGCAACAAATACCTGAGTTGCTTCATGCATGGGAATTATATTATTGCTAGCATTTGCAGATAGTGCTGTTGGGTTCCAGCTTCCTGACATTGGTTCTTCTGCCATTTTGATCAACCTAGATGAAAAGAAAAAAAAAAGATATTGCCTCATTTAAAAAACTCCAGCAATGAGGGAATATTCATAAACACATGAGCATCACTCAGTCTGCAACATCCAGTGAGGGTCTGCATTTGTGAAGTGATCAGCATAAACCAAGACTATTTTATATAGATTGAATTCATCCCAGAAAAATAATACTTTTAAATGGATTCCAATATGAAATTCATCTAAGCACTCTCTCCCCCTCCCCCTTTCTCACATTCACTATATATACGTATGTATGTATGTGTACATTGGTCCTCAGAATATATCTGTAAATTAATTTATCTTCCCAGCTTTCTACAACTCTTGCCACAATGTGCAGAGATAGCACAAATTATTTTGAAGAGAGAATCACTGGCTGAGGAAACACATGGCTAAGGATGCAAAGAGTGTGAACATCTGATCTTACCTTGGGTAGATGACTGTCAAAACTCTTCCTAAGGCCAATTCTAAAGGTTACCTGTTGAGGATAGTGAATGAGGATTATTTCAGTTGATCTGATATTTTCTGTTAGGGTTATTTCTGGCTCATCTTATCCTGAATCAGTGTACAGTAACTAGTCACATGAACACATTCTTGGTCCAGATGCTAGAGCTGAGTGCAAAAATGTGAAAAGTCACAAGCACTCTGGAGCATGACTGTGCAGTGAGTATATCCATATGATCAAGCTGACTAACACTGATTTGTGCGTGAACTCTGGAAAATGTTCAGAATAGATTTTTATCTGATTAAAATAATGTTACATCCTTTCCAGATTATTAAAACTAGAACAACACATATCCAGATGCATATATCAAGGTGTGCCTTCCAAAGCACAATTATGTAACTTTGCAGCTTGAAATTGAATTACCTTCTTTACTAGTTCTGATTTTTTAAAAAGTACAAAAGGGTTTCTCAAATGCCAGTTCAGCTACTAAAATTATTGCCACATTAACAAATGTTTGGTAGAAGCAGTGTTCTTTCTAAGCCTAGAATTTGTTCCTTTTATTTATACACTGAGAGGAAAAATTCATCTCATCATAAAGAACAAGATGGCTTTGTTGAGTTGGGCTGATAATGAAGTTTGCTTTACTAGATCAAGTGTTGAAACAGGTGTAAAAGCACACAATGGAAAGAGCATTAGTGACTGTTCCACTTTACATATCATGCAGAATTAAAGAACATTTCCTATTTGGTGTGCATGTCAGGGAGAAATGGCTAATCCTAATTTCCTGAAGAGCATACCTGTTTGATACATGCAGCCCCCTGTGCTAATTACAGCTCAAAGGTAATGTAAAATGTAGTGCATGGATTCCTAAAAAAAAAAAAAAAAGTAATATGAATAGACAGGGGATGGAAGGCTAATAAAAAACTTGCAAATATCCACCAGCCTCTTCATCTGCACCAAAGAAGCTTCAGTCAAGACTTCTACAAAGGAAGATGGTTCAGTTTTTGACTTTAGTGCAACAAGCACCACAAGTAACTTGCAATTCAAAAATAAACTCCAGAGCTGCTGACTGACATGGCAGAGGCTGATGCAGAGGTGACATCCAGTAGCAAAATGGAGTTGTAACAATGCAGTGGATTGGAGAGTTGGCTTGTGGTGGAAAATGACAATCACAGAAAGATCAGCCAGCTGAAATCTAGTGATATTTCTGTTATCGAGTAAAGTTTAGAACAAGGTATCTTCAACTCACAGAACAGGGACAGATTTCCACAAACAGCTTTAGGACATGAATCTTTGCCTAATTGTGCCTCAACTTGATGCAGATGTTTAAAATTGTGTATCATAGGGATTAAAAAAAGAACCTCCAAGAATGAAGAAATGGGATTATCTCATGCTAATCTTTGCATCTGGAGCCAGCAGGCCTTGGGGAATTCTGGACACAGAAATCACTTCAAATATGCCCCATTTATGATAAGTCTGATATTATTTATATCATACAGATATAGAATGGTATAAGGTCCCATTATGAAAAAAGATGTTTATAAGCCATAAAGCAGCTAAAAAACAAACATCAAAGAGGGGGAAAAGGGGGACTGGACACAATACAGGACACATATTTAAGGATTTCAAATACGTTGTTTTAGAATGTGCCTTTAATAAAAGGCAAATTTATATCAATTTAAATAGCAATGCAACAATAGCAGAAGATTAGTAAAAATCTACCTGAGCATTTTTACCTCCATTTTGCAAATATTACTTTGGAGAAGATGGAATCCTTTATCATTATGGATGGATACTGCTTTTAACTAAGAACAAATGATTTTTTAATGGATGCATATATAAACATATATTTATAAGCAACACATGTAAAACTGTGTTTCATTGCACAGTTGCAGCTGCCTTCCTAACTTTTTCTGACTCTCCTGGGGATACTCTACTGATACTCTGATGCCAAAATAATAATGAAGAGCTGAATGAGTCTCCTTGGTGGACAGACACATTCTAACTATAAGACGATCAGGAGCAGATATATATCTTGCCAGTAATGTGGATTATAGTAACTGCATGGGTATGTACTGCACCTGTGCTCACATTTTGGCATCTGCCTCTGTTACTAAAGGCGTTGACAAGTTTACGCAGAAATAAATTGCTCCCTGAATAGTGTGGCCACAACTGTACTATCCTTCAGGTAATCCCAGACACTAATCTGTTGTGCAACAGCCAGTCAATTATCTTCGGGAATGTCAAGTCTTGTAATTGCAGCTGGGATCTAGCACTTCAGGCTGTCCACACTATCCTTAAGAATAAATGGGGTTGAACTCAATTATTGGTTTTACACATCACACAAAGCCATGATTTGCCTCAATCGTGTTTTATTGAATAAATCACATATTTAAGGATAAGACATAAGCCATGGTTTATAAACTATAATGGGTGGGTTCATATAATACATTCTAAAACAAACCCAGACAAATTACATCATAGACCAGCGCAATGTGAAAAACCAAGCGAAGGTATCCGTTTCTAGCCACAAGGATGCCAAAATGTATATTCTGATGTCACAGTGCAAGCTCCGCCCATACTTGCATCACAACACTGGGTGCGGTGTGTGTTGTACGATCATGACAATTTTTTGCCATTTGCCTGCCCTTGTGCCCACTTCCTCTCCTCTCCTCCCTCCTGCAGCCACCTGCGCAAGAAATGGAGCTTAGTGCCTCATTGGATTCAAACTCTGTTTCCAAATTAAATTGCATTGAGAAAGGAACTTTGACAGGATCACTATCAGCACTGGCATTAACATTAAACTCTCTTGGACACCACTCACTTCAAGGGATCAGTGCAAAGATTGTCTACATTTAATTTGTCATTATGTGCACCTAATTAAGGCCTGTACAATGAACTAGAAAGTACTTCTAGATTATTATTGCCACTCAGTCTACTAGCATTTGTGTCAGCGCTATTCCTAACATACCTTTAGAATTACTCCAAACCTCCTTTTCTAAACCGAGAGTACAGTACTTCATTCGTTTCAAGAAGTAGACACAGAAGCAAAAGTTTAGTATTAGAAATATTAACCAGATTGCTGCCGACAAACTTTCAATGAATAAAGGATTCCAGCAGAACGGGGGAATTGGGGCTGATTTTTCTGGACAAGTGGGGCAGTTAAGACCAGAAATATACAAGAGGTAGCAAGCTACGACAATCTAGGCGCGCGGTGCCTGCAAAAGAAAATACATCTGAACTCTCGGACGGTGGTATCCGACAAATGTTTCTTCCCATTCGGGAGCGGGCGGGAGGAGAAGGGGGCACGCGTGGGGTAAGTCTCCGACACCTTGCTCTCCAACCTCGGATCTCTATCTAGGTCGGTTTGCATTTCGTGGGCAGGGACGGACTAGAGCGGGGACCGAAGTAAGCTAGTTCAGTGATGCACCACTGTGAATACATCTGCCCGGTTCGGATGGCGGGACAAGAAACCTGGAAGGAAAAGCGCTGAGATCAAAACGTACCGAGCCCAACGAGCCCCCGGAGAGCGACGGATCCTCTGCAGGAAATCTTCCAGGGATTGCAACAGCGCGGTGGCTGATCCCTTGGCTAACGGCCTTTGCCTGCGGTCGACAGAAGACGAGCCGTCCCGCTTGCCGACCCCGTTCAAGCCGGGCGGCAGGAAAACGCAGCTGCGGGTTGCAGCGCACCTACTGGGCGCCGGCCGCCTTCTAACCCTTCGCCTCGTTCCCCGGTCCGAGGTCGCGCCGCCGATATTAATAACGCTCCCCTCCCTTCTGTACGGCAAAGGGAGGAGCGGCTGGGAAGAGCCTCTGGCGAGGAAAAGATGAGCTGGAAGGGCCATCGCGGCTGTCCGTGCCAAGGCAGGGAGCTTTCCCTCACCCGGGTCCAGGAGGGAGGACGGCGCTTCTGTTTCCAAAACCCACCGCTCGGCACCAAAAATGGAAGAATCCCGGCGGACGGTACCATTTCAGAGCATGGGCGGGCGGGCGAGCGTGTTGCTCGGCGGGGCTCGAGAGTCGGAAAAGAAATTACTGTACGCCGGATGATGAAAGGCCGAGGAGGGAAAACGCAACGAGAACACCCACATGGCGTTCTTAAACAGGTCTGCACGGCGTGGTTCGTTGCATAAACCATAATCCCTGGATTGGCATGACACAATACACGGTTATTTATAAAACAAGGTAGGTGGGGTCATGCAGGGAGCCCAGCCATA